TACTTGTTATAGCATTTAAAGATAAAATAATCTGACTTTGTCATACTTAAACTTAACATGTTAGCTTCTTATTCACGATAGACAGATCACACTAAGGCAACCTCAGTTTTACCTTATCAAATAGTACTCCTATTTTTTTTTATGTTACAGTATCCACATTTCATTTTGTTATGAGACTGTGCTCCATACATCTACACTATGTGAGTTGTAAGAGAGACGATTAAGAGCATAGATTTTGTGCTAAAAATACTTAAAGGGTGTACTGCTCTCCTAAGAGTAAGGTGGATGGGACTTCAAGTCTCCCGTTTGCAAAATCATATCCCTTCAATGAAAAGCACAAATATCTCTCTCATATTTGGAGTATGAGACAGAGAAGCAAATACAAAGAGCTCTTTATTATCTTGTGATTAACGATTATACCCTTATTAGATTTATAATAAACTAAACATTCCAAGGAGGACGAGAATTATTTCAGAATACTTCACCCTCTCACAGTTCATTAGGGAAAGAAATGCTTAACCATTTTGATCTTTTTGCAAAGGACACTAGTATAAATAAATAGGACTCTTGTTTTGATCATATTCCAGAGTAGACTTTATTCATGCTATTTTACTCAACCTTTGAGTTGTTGATGACTCATAGCAAAAGAAAAGTTCGTGATGTCAAGCTCTTTATACACTATATTCTCACCCATGCTTCTACTATTCAAAGAGCATACTAGTTCTCAACATAAGCTCACAGGCTACTGTCTACATATACTCGTATGTAAATGCTAAAAAGAGCTTGCTGGAACCATATCATATATTCTGTTAAAAGTCTCGTACTCTAGATCTTATCGTATTGAGACACACTTCACAAATTCCTATATCGTGTGATGTACGTCATTCTTTACATTTTTTTTTCACAATGTGACTAAAAATGTTGGATACCCACTCCGAAGGTATTTTCTCGCCTTCATAACCCAGATTACTATTTTCTTTAGTCACCGAGAATCTTCACGGAAATTGAAGGGTTCCATACCATCTAGTTAAAATCAAAACCATTGGTCCGAACCATCCCACGAGTTCTAAACTTACCAGTTTGATTAAAACTAGTTAAGCAACCCCATAGGGTTCATTATTTCATTCTTTCATATTACGCTATGGGGACTTTACCATATAAGTGAGGACCGGTTTAACAACTACTGTGGGTCTATTATTTCTTCCTTTAATATCATGACACACAAACTTTACCATATAATGTTATACCAATCAAATATCCACCTAAATGTTAGACTCTCATTGAAAGCCAAGGTTGTTCTCCACTTGGACTTTGTTTAATATTTAGTTCTGCTCTTTTATGCTCATCACCCTATAAGGACCTTTGCAATTAAGTGTTATTGAAAACTTTTCGCTGCCAGAAATTTGAGCAATTGGAGCCTAATAACTTTGACCCCAAGAGCCTTAGATCTCATCTCAATTCCATTATGATATTGGCTAACATAGCAACACCTATTAATCCTTGACACATTTGATGGACCCTGGCCCACTGTCTAGCCTACCCCGTATGCTTTACAGAACTCCAAGAAACATCTCCATAATGTAATGAATACATATGACACATACATATATATCCAACATTTGTACTTAGTTCACTTATATGAAATAGTAGTTATTCTTATATGCCTTTAACTACTCACTTACCTGAGAGATGTCGAGCGGTGTATGGCAATGGATGGAGTTACGGAAGGACCTGAGCTCTGATACCAAACTGTAACGACCGTCCCCAAAACGGCCATTACGATACTCAAACATAAAAGAGACTCGATAAATCAAGCGGAATAAAGATACAAAGCCTCTAAATGAGACTTTATTTCTTTTAAAACAAAATCAAACCTTACAACCATAACGAAAGACATCCAAAATAAAACATCCTTAAAACCGTTACACCTGATCAGGATTTTAAAACATTTAACAACCCTTTGAAATACCAACGTACTGAAACAACAATATATCCAATAGCCCGATCTTCTCCGTTAACCCATCCAAAACCTTGTCACCGGCTCCATACATTCTCTCAGGCTTTCGTTCATCGTTTATTACCTATACATGAGAACACAGGAGAATAGAATTCTCGTAAGCAATAATGCTTAGTAAGTCACCATTTTATCCACTAAAAACATTTAGGGAATCTTAGCTAATCATAAATAGATAGCCATGCTGATTACATCTCACATACAATATAACCACACATGATAACAACACATAAGCCTTCATGTATCAAACACCAAGAGATTTCCTTGTTCATCATTCTTTCTTCTTATCTTATCCCTTGACTTATGGGCCCGTAGCTCGTGTCCTGGCCCCTCGCTAATGACCTCGGGTAGCTAGCCCTCAGCCATCAAAAGCAACCCCGGGACTTCCCGCGGAAGGATGTCCCGCTCCGCTCAACTCAGGTAGTTACTTGGGGGCACGGCTACCTTGTCACATTACTTAACTTTCATTACATTCATTATCATCCTCACTTCCTTTCATTGTTGGTTCCATACGAATCCAACCCAAAATCAAACATATAACTGGAAATTCACATATCTCATGTCATACAATTTCAAGCATTCAAGCACATACATCAAATTCACAATTAGTTAATCTTCCCTACTTTATTTAGAACTATCATGTATAGGTGGTGGTGACTTACCTGATACAAGTTGAACTCGGAATCCTCAATTAAGTGTGGCACCTTGATCCCGTTTCCGATAAGCTCTTCTTTAAAAATCTTTAGTTACATGTATGTAATAATATAGTTGTAAGTCTTGTGTCTTTAAGCATAATAACCTAAGAAAATCTTTCGCCACTGCCATGCTGTGATGCAGCCACTTAAGTAACATTTACTAGTTCTTTCAACTACTTTAATATGGCTAAGGAAAACTTTGCTACTACTCTTCACAAATTCCGAATGATATATACTTAAATCAACTGGATAGTAGAGTATGTATATCATTTGTACTCGTTACACTTGCCAATTCTGGATAAAATCAACTGGATTCTTCTATTTGAATATCTTTGTACATTAACTAGTTAAATCCACACAAAGGCCCAATCACCTTTAAAACTTATTAGCCGAGGAATAGTTTCAAAACCCAAGCATAGCTGATTTGTCCTTTCTTTTAGATTATATTCCTTAACCAGAACACTCCAATACGTTTAAATGAAAGAAGTAATTGGTTCTCTAGATTAAAGATCAGTTTGTTGTTTTGAAAACATTGTGAATCCTAGCACCAGACCTATAGTTGGGCAAATGATACATGCTTCAACAATCTGAGTGGAATATACATAATTGGAGAAAGCAGAGTTGAGCTCACCAGATCACGATAACAATATGAATTTCAGAGAGAAACTTTGAATTGATCGATTCACAGCATACCAAAAGCTTCCGCGTATGAATTGATGGAGAAAAGGCAGTTTCTTCGTTTAATTTTTCTAGGGACGGAGGAATAAGAACGGCGGAGCTGGTAAGGACGAGTCCATCCTGAAGGGTTCGGGGTGATACGGAGTAACAATATATTTATATCATAGGGGTTTGAGTCTTAGCATAATTATTTGGGCCTGGTTAATTGATTTGGACTTCTAATTATTTCTTTAAAAAAATTGTTCCTGTCACATTAAAAGTATTTTCCATTTCCAAATAAATTGATTATATTTTAGAACATTACTTACTACTTATTTCTTCACTTAAAATTATTAGAGCTTACCGGTCAACGTTATCTGCCACAAATAAACATGATAAAATAATATCACATTGTTCACAATAGAAACTTATTTAACGGATTGAATAATAATAATAATAATATAATAATAATTACTAATAAAAGTGAATCACAAAATCGGGGCGTTACAGCCTCTCTCTCCTACTTGTTTGCTCTGACTTCTCTCTAGGTTATTCCCGCAGTAACCCCTCGGATAAGCTACCCCCGGGTACACTGTCCATCATATGGAAATGTCACCGACACCCTCAATTGCTTGGATGCACACATTATAAATGTCACCCCTCAAAGGATCACATTTACTATAATTTGAACAATTGAGGGTGAGATTTATAAATTTCAAAACACGGAGATTACATTTTAACATGAGTATTATTTGAGTGGCTCAGAGTATGATTTTTATTAGATTCTTTAATTTTGAGGTAAGTCAACAACTTAAAGGTCAATAATATGCTTAGCTTGAGGATACCCGTGAAATGAACCACGCACCGTCCCTCACAATACTTAGAGCTAAAAAAATGATTCCGCGCTTCAAATGTGTTACTACTCGAGGAGTATGCCACACATATATTTTTGTGTGTGCGAGATAGAATGAAGTTCTCCTTCGTATATATATAGAGATTGTGGCACCCTCTACTACTTCATGACACAACTACTCAGTAAAGACTTGATAATAACAGCGTGACACTTCTTAACTAGCCAGGCATGCATATGTTATGAATGTTATCTATACTAGCACCTTGGTTGATTTTGAATAGAAAAAAATACTAAAATAGGAGAAGTTTAAAATTGGAGTATGTTTTTAAAATTCCCCAAATATAAGTAATTTTTTAAGCTTTCACAAAGATACCACTGCATGAGCTACTGGGGTCAGAACAGCCACCACCATCAGACTGACCTGGCAATGCAAGAGAACTAGAGAAGCAATTGATTGTATAAATTAATTAGATTAGATGTATTAAGAGTACAGTCAGGGGCGGAGCCAGGGCACTAGGCCGGACTGGGCCGATACAAAGAATATTTTTGGAAAAAATTTTACACGGAATTTTTTACGCTAAAAATTTAGACATTTTTAAAATTTGGGTTGGGCCAGGGCCAGGTTTGGCCCACCCCTAGCTCTGCCTCTGAGTACAGACATAATGTTTAGTCCTATTCAGGGAATATTTTGCTTGAACTCTGATATGAATTTTCTCGCACTTAAAAATATAGAAGAATAGTGGTGCAAGTACGAGTATCGTCTCCATAGGGACGGACAAAAGGGAATCAAGAATTAACTAAATTCAGTGATTAAACTAAAAAAATAAAAGCAATTGTGTGAGTTTGATTGGGTTGAAAATTAACTAATGCGAATACACGATTAAATTAAAGGTTTCTTTCTTATTAACGACGAAGGGAACATGAATTGATTTCGGGGTAATCAGATTTCTGGCAGATCAGACTTAATCACATCAAAATTATGTAATTGAGCAATGCTAATCAATACTTAGTTCTAACCGCTCTTGTGACGTAGAGTACAATAATTTAGGGAACCAGGTACGAAAAACGAGCGAGCGTACAGCCCCTTAATCGTACGGCTCCTTAATCGTTACTAATCTTTTAGTGAACGATTAAGTGTGTGTGAAAGTATCCTAGAATAAATTAGATCTCTCTTAATTTATTCTACATGCAATTATAATCTAAGCTGCAATTCTAGGGCATAAGAGATATCAGTTAAATCAAATATACACAAATTACATAAAGATTCATGCAATTAATCCATCTATAAACTAGCCATATCCTACATCATAATTAACCCCTTCATCAATCCCAATCACTAATTAAAACAACTCACAACTCATAATTGAAGAATAAATAGAATTAGGATGAAAAGAATTAATTGTCATTAATTAAAAAGTTAGAACTTACAAGAATCCATTAATCTTGAAAAACAAGGCTTTAAAAAACCTCTAAAGTCGAAATAGGGTTTATCTCTCTAAGCTTTGGTACGAAAAACGAACAAAACAGGGCCTTTAAATAGAAATAGTCGAAATTTGGCCGAACTGCAGACTGTACGGCATGCATGTCACCGTGCGGTCGCGCAAAAATTAATCAGCTCCATCATTTACTCCGCCCGCACGGCGTGCGGGCACTTCTGTGAGGTGCTCTAGACTGCGGGGCGTGCGGTTCATAATTCTTGACTTCTAGCTCTTAGAATCACTTGCGGGGCGCATGGTTGGCTCTTGAACCATTATCTTTCCCTTTTCGATCTTCCTTGTTTGCTCCCGCTCAATCCTATCTTCAATCTTTGACCATCCAAGCCTCGAATGGTGCCTCTAAATCATCTTGTTGACCTCCGATGCCTCTCGCTATCTCTCAAACACATCTCCAATCTCCTCAACTTGTGCTAAAACGCCGATGTCGGGTCCAAATTCTTCCTTTTCTTCAACGAATGCAAACCAAACCCGGTAAACCGTGTCTTGAGTTAAATAAACACTTTGTACAACAATAACAACATCCAAGCCTTAGTCCCAAAAGATATCGGGATCAGCTAACATGAATCGATACATTATATCACCACCAAAAGAAAAAAAATAAAGATAAAAAGAATAAGCTATTATAAAAAAGATAATGTAAAAAGAGATGAATATACCTAAAAATGATAAAATAAAAATGTTAAAAATAATCTTTATATATAATGATAAAAAAAAGCAATAAAAAAATTAAAAAAAGAAGAAGAGAAAAAAAGAAAAACGAAAAAAAAGAGGGAAAAAAAAGAGGAAAAAAAAGAGAAAAAGAAGAGAGGAGAAAAGATAATATGAGATCACTCTGGTCTACACACGAATACCCGCCCCCCACTTTGCTCTCTCCAAAACCATACTCTCATCCAACCCAAGAAGAAGCATATCACTTCGGACTCCCTAACCCATGTCTGCTTGGGCCTTCCTCCCCCTCTCTTCCCTGCCTGTTCTCCACACATCTCAACTCGTCTGACTGGTGCATCTTCCGGTCTTCTATACACATGACCAAACCATGCATCATAGGCACGACTCCCGCATCTTGTCTTCAATAGGTGCTACTCCTACCCTTTGTCTTATTGTCTCATTCCTCATGTGGTCCTTCCTATTATGCCACACATCCAACGTAGCATGCGCATCTCTGCCACACTCATCTTTTGAATATGACATTGTTTTACCGTCCAACACTCTACGCCATACAGTAATGTAGACTTAATTGTTGTCCTGTAAAATTTACCCTTAAGTCTTATCGGCATACCTCTATCGCATAGAAATCCTGACGCACTCTTCCACTTCATCCACCATGTTCTGATTCTATGGGATACATCTCCATCTAACTCACCGTCTTTAATTATAGAGCCCAAGTAACGGAACATATCATTGACCGGTATCTCCTTACAATCTAGAGTAATTCCGCTATTACCACTGCTTCTACCTTTACCAAACTTGCACTCCATGTACTCTGTCTTGCTCCGACTTAGTTCTATAACAACTTAGGAAAGTGACAAATCTCAATCTCCACACGCATTAAATGTTTGTTGAAATACGAACTTATCAGACTCCTATTTACAAAATGAGTATGTTTTACTCCTCTCAAATGCAATTATTTTTACTTGATGTAACTTTTTAATTAGATTTGACCCTTTAACTTTTTTAATTAAAAATGTTGCTCAATATGAAGTCTACAACGTGGAAATGTGGAATGCAGCCCAAAAAAAGACCTTTATTTTTTACAACGGTCATTCCTAAGGCAGGATAACGGGGTCCATCGTTGCATTGAAAAACTTGGACAAATACAAATCTATTAATAATAGTAAGAGATTCCGTCTTCCCATTCGTTCTCAGTTTCCTTTCTTAAACGTATTATATGAATTAAAGGTTCTCATTTCTATTTTAAGAAACAATTAACACTCTTAAATTATAAATTAACCATCAAATATTAAAAACAGTACATCTATATAACACCACAGTTAGCACCAATGATCCCATTATATTACATACCATCAAAATTATTTCTCAAAACATACTCAAATTACCTTATATAATTATGATCTAAATAATCGTGCCTTTTTTAATGAGAATTGTTAAATGGGATGGAGGTAGTACATTTTATAAAAATATCATTTCCTAAAACATAAAAAAAGTATGCTTCTTTCTAAAAAAAAGTGACTACTTCTGCATATCGATAAAAATGTGATTAAGCAGGTATGGAAAACATGATATCATCGAGAGAAACATGATACCATTGTCGCCACACACATCATTGCAAACATGACACTGCTGACGATTTCTGCCTCCCGTGCACGCAATTCTGGAGGAGGCAGTGGACAGTGGGTAGGGGGCAAGAGTGAATAGTACGTTGGGTAGGAATAGAATTAAAAGAAAATTACATTAATTAAACAAAGTTTGGTCACATTTTTGAAAAATGAAATATAGTCATATTTTTATCTTTTTAAAAAAATAAATACGTAGTATAACATTTTTGTCATTTTCCCTAATATTAGAGCAGCTTAATAAGATAAGAAAAAAGCAAAACATGATTTGCATTCACAAAGTGGTGTAAATCAATCAACAATGGTCACATTTTCCCTAGCTAATTAAAATCTAATACTCCCTCCGCCCCTATAATTGTCTCATTTTCCATTTCGGGATGTCTCACTATTATTGTCACATACCATATTTGATAACATTTATGTGACTCTAATTTATTGTTATATTGTATTCAGTATTCCTATTTTATCAACTTATTATCAACCACATAATTATTCTCTTATAATTATGTGTCACATAAGTATTCTTTGCTTAAAAACCACATTATTCCCTTCCCCCAATATTAGGGGGACATGAGCATTTGACACTGATTCGGCCAGCGGGTATTGTAATGCAAAATTGAAAAGTCAAAGCTACTTGTTGAGGTTTATTCCCGAAGATCTGAAAGCCCAACACAAGCCTTGGATATTGTAGGGATATTGGATAGGATTGAAATGTGTATAAAATATAAAATAGTCAGATAATATTCACTCAAGAACTTACTTATATTCTGTAATTAAGCCATTACACTGGAACTACCCGAACGGTAGATGAATATGAGATTACAAGGATGGGAGATGTAAATCTATTGCTAAGCTCTGAGTATTAAAATGCTAACCTTTTACAATGATCTAAACATGGGTATTTATACTAAAATAGGGATGGGTGAGGTGGACACGTGGCCAAATCCGGTAGGCTGTCACTTCTGCCATGTATGCACCCATGCCCCCACTTGCCGCTGTCATGATCCAGCATTAAATGCGGCCTCCACTTGCTGACCGCCCGTTCGGGCAAGGTGTTCGGTGTGTGGGACCCCGCCATAAGTGATAATTTCTACCCGAAGTATCCCGAACGCCGATCGATATTTGGGCCTTGATACTTTGGCATAATTGTTTCCCAGAATGTTCCAAGTATAAGTTTTATCCCGAATGCCGTTCGGGAGTTCTTTGGGCTTGCAGCTTCTTCCCGGATTTGGGCCTAGGGATATCGGGCCTGGACCCAATATCCCAACATTAGTCCCCCACTTCCTATGTCTCGAACGGTAGTGAGCGCATGAGGAAGTAGAAGATAATTGCCCGAATGCCGTTCAGGTGAGAATCGAATGGCATTCCGCTGGTTCCCGAGGTATATTTTGTCGGTTATTTGCAACTGTCGTTTCACTTCTTCGATAAACGCCATGATTTCTTGAGAAGGGTTCTCCGCGTGACACGTGTATCCGTCATCATTACAGAAAACGTGTCCTCTTCTGATTGGGTGCTGAATCGGCGTGACAGAGTATAAGTAGGCTCTTCTGGTTCTGATTCTGGGTTTCGAAACTTTGCACCTCCGGCTTATAATTCATCCTTCTCTCTAGAGCTTCATCCGCAGCTTCTGTTCAGGTATCCTTCGAGTTCCCTTCTACTGTTTAGTTCCCTCGTTCGGTGAGAATGGCACCCCTTCGTTCATCTGAACCCTCTACCTCCGGCACTGTAATTCCAGAAGAAAACCCCAACGATATGCTGCAAGTTGTCCGTATTCCGGCGGAGGTTAACGGCGATGATTCCTCTTCCTCCGATGTTTACCCTGATGGCACCAAGTCGGGGGATGAATTGGGAGTTATGGAAGCCGGCCCTCCAAGCGGCGTTTCCTGTCATAAGCTTGACCTAGCTCTTATTAGGTTTAGGCGCCAAAAGCTCACGGCCCAGAATCGGGCCCAAATTCAGATGCTAATTCCTGATTCGGTGGACTTCCGCCTTCAATCGGGTCTCCACCCAATGCGCCACTTCCCAGGGATGGTTGTGGTCCATTTCGACTCAATCAAGGCCGGTCTTAGATTCCCACTTCACCCCTTTTTTGTCTCCCTTTTAAATTTTTACAATGTAGTACCAGCCCAAATAATGCCGAACTCCTACCGGTCGATAGCTGGTTTCATTTGTCGTTGTCACAGTGTTAAGGTCATACCCACTCTAGAGCTTTTCCACTATTTCTTTTCAGTTATCCCCCAGCAGTCCCACGGCTTTCTGGTGGTAAGCTCCCGACCAGGACACATTTTGTTCTGTGAGGCTCCTTCTTCCATTAAGGGTTGGAAAGATAGGTTTTTCTTTGTCTTTGTCCCGAACGGTTTGATTCCTAGGAAGTGGAACGCATTCCCTCCTAAATCCCCCGAGCCATTCATCTCCGAGGAGCTTAGCAAAGATGTCATCGCTGTGGAGGCGGGAGGCTGCTTCAAAATCATGTCTTATCTGACTCCCGAACGGCTAATTAAGGCCGGGATAGGTACTGCCCGTATTCCTGGACTTACTTGACTGAAAACCAAGTACCATGGCCCGGGTGGTCCTTCCCGTGTGATATAACTTTTTAATCCACGTGTGAACCGCTCGGTACTAATTTGTCCTTGTTATCTTTTCAGCTCCAAAGCAAGGCGAATCTTCAGAATCCGAAGGAGCCAATCCCGGACAATCAGCAATGGATGACAGCAGGCTTTTCACTGTTGGATTTGATGATGAGCCACCAACCTCTCCTCCCAAGCAGCAGAGGAAGACAAAGAGGAAAAGGTTGAGGAAGGCCGATCAGGGGACATCCTCCCAATCCGCCCCCCCTCCTCCCCGAGCAGCCTGAACCTGTTCGGGATGTAAAACCTGTGCACCAGGTTGCTCCTGATCAGCAAACTCATGCTGACACGCTGATGGATCAGCTTTTTCTGACCAGCAGTCCCACCATTTTTCTGCTGAGGAGGTGGCTGCTCATCAGGCTGACTTGGCTAGTCAGTTCGAGCGGATCTCCCTCTATGATCCTGCTCATGAGATGTTGGAGCGGGGTGGCTGTCCGGCGAGCCAAATCTGGTCCACATCAGGATTTCTCAATGGCCACAATCTTCCCCCGATACCGGTGGAGGAGGCCGAGGAGTGTATTGCTCTGACTGTCTTGAAGGTAGCTCATTATGTTGTGCTCATAATTCACTCTTTCCTTTTCTTTGTTTGATAACTTATCATGTGCTTATATTTTACTTTCTGATCATTAGGCGGGAATATACAGCCTGAAACTCAGAGAGGCCAGGCAGGCAAAGGAACAAAGCCTGCTAATGGCCAAGGAAACAGCTGAGCAGGCAGTGGAAGCTGAACGACGAGCATTTGCCGAGGAGCGGAAGAAGCTGGAAGCTGAGGCCGGGGAGCTTCGTGTCCAAGTGGGCTCTCTCCAAGCCAAAATTGCGGCAGCTGAGGCCGCTCAGGTCAAGTTTTCTGAAGCTCCTCCTCAAATCCCGGACGGCCCGGCTGAAATGTTAGTTGATCTATCTGCCGTTCGGGATCAATTGAAAGCTTCCGAGGAGTTTCTGGCTCTCAAGGAAGAATACGCCACCGAACAGCTCCCTGCTGTCTTCGGAAGGCACCTGGAGAAACTGGCCGGAGAAGAGCGCCAGAAGGAGGGGATCAGGGTGCTTGATCAGCATTCTGTCACCAAGGAGTGGGCTGATAACTTCGCCCGCGGGGTCTACAGCTCAGGTTGCCAACATATGCTTCAGCCTCTCCTCCCCCTCATAGAAAAACACATGGGTCGAGCGGTGCAACCCTCTGACTTTCCCGCTGATCTTCATCCCGATCACCTGAACGCCCTGATGGCTCAGATGAAAAAGTGCCGGCGAGCCCTGGGGATGGATGTGGTGCAAATTGTTGATGAAGCTGATGATGAAGAAGATGATGAAGAGGGTGAAGATCATCCCGAACAGTAGATTTAGACATTCTCATTTGTACCCCTTTTCCTTTGAATCAGTAGTTTTTGTACTTTCCGGCCAGTAGAGCCGATGAATATACAACTTTTGCTTGCTCATTTCGTCTTTGTGACTTTTACTGTACTTTATATTTGTTTTTCACCTATCAATTCGCCTCCGCAATACGTTTCATGTTGCTTTGTTCGGGTGATCTCCATAATCTGAAGCGATCAGGTCACCTGTTCGGGTGAACTCCTTGTTAAATCCAGAATTCAGGACTTAATAATCTTGTTAACGCATGTTGTTCATAATGAACCCGTCCAGTCTGTACTTATGATCTTAATATAAGACCCTAGTGCCCTTTTCATTCGTTCGTAAGCTTTCATTCTGACTAGTTGGAAATTGTGTCCGGTATTCAGGATGTATTTTTGCTCTCTTTGTTGCATCTGTCATATTCTTCCATGTTAGATAACCATACTGTTCGGGTACGCCCATCATTTTTACCGTTATAAATTTCCTTCCTGTTCGGGGAAACGCTTGTAGCCCTTTTCTTTTATCCCGTCCGGGGAGTCGCCTTTAGAGGTTCGTGAACTTTGCTGATTTCAACCCCGTTCGGGTGTTCACCCACCCCAAAGGATGCTTTAACTTCTCCCAACCATCTTGACACGTGTCTATTATTCATTCGAATTCCTGGCGGTAGCCTTTCCTTATATAAGGATGCATCTACTTTGTTTCAGTTTTTTCTGCTGCTTCTGAATTCCTTCAAGCTTTCTCTCTCTAGAATCTTCTCTGTTATTTTATGTCTGCCTTTTCTGGTTCGTCAGATTCCGAAGAGATGGCATCCACTTTGATTCGCCATTCGAGGGGAAAAGCTCACCCCAAAGATCAAGGTACATCTACCCGATCGTCGGGTTCTAACGGGTCTTCTTCCTCACTTCATCCCGAACAGCCCCTCCCCGATGATGGATGTCAGTCGGGAGATGACCTAGCCATTTATAATAAGGGCATGCCTGAACGGCCCCCCCGTTATAGTCTGAACTTTCATTGCATTAGGAAGCAACGTCAACGCCTTCCTGCGGATGCGGAACAGACGCTGCGCCAATTACTACCTCCACCCCGTCAGTTTAATGCGGGGTTCATCAAACATCCCATGCGACACCGTCCGGGATGTGTGTTGGTGCATATGGACGCCCTGATTGCTGGTCTGCGGTTCCCTTTGCACCCGTTCGTTGTGGAGTTCCTCCGCCGGGTGTCAGTACTGCCGGCACAGTTCGTGCCTAGCACCTACAGGATCCTGAATGGGTTCATTGTCTGGTGCCATGAGTTGGGGATTGCCCCTAGCGCCGATCTCTTTTTGCACTGCTATGGCGTTCAGCCCTATTGGACCACCGGGTACCTGCGGCTTGTAGCCCGTCCTGGCCGTTCGCTCTTCACCGATAACCCCACCCCTCCGGAAAAATGGGAGGAAAGATTTGTGTTCGTACACGTGGGGTCGCCGCTTCCTTTTCCTGATCGGTGGAACACCTACCCCGTTCAGGATGCCTCCCCCAGGGTGGATGCAGCTATTCTCTGCCAGTACGAAAGGCTCCGTCTGGCCGGTTCCAAGAACCTACGGTCTTTCTTGACTCCCGCTAAGATGCTAGCTGCTGGCATCGGTATGATTCTTCCATTACTTTGCTCGTTCGGTATATTTTTCAATATCTTGTTCATTTTTCTTTGTTCTTTCCTGTAGGTGTGATTCCCCCCGTCCCCATAAAGCGTCCTGCTCCTACTCCTTCCTCCACCGCCATAGTCAGCAAGGGAAAGGAGAAGGCTATTCAGTCAGGTTCTTTGGCTGGCCGGGAATCTGGGCCAGTAAACAAGCGGCCGAGAATCGAAAGCAGCGGCGCCTTGGTCCCGATCGATCAGGTCATTGATCTGACGGATCCTTCTGTGGAAAGGATGCCCATGGTCCCCTCCCCTTCAAGGAAGCTGGGCAACAGGGGAGGTGTTGCTTCAGATAGTCTCTTGATCCCCGATCGGTTGACGGTGGAGTTTTCCGCCATGGGCCCCCGAGCCGAATGCCGGACGCTGTTCGGGCAGACTGCATCCTCCATGTGGTGCAGCACTTCTTTGAAGGCTGGCGAGGGCTTCACCAACTTGACCCATTGGTCTGATTTGGTCGAAGCAGGTCATTTGGAGACCATCAAGGTGCGTATTTTACTGTCCAGGTTTCTAGTGTTTGAAGTTCTCCGGATGTATTCGTATTTTTTATTGTTTTATTTTTTCTCAGGCCGGTACATATTATCACCGGGCCTTCCTAGCTGTTGAACGGGAGATGGTACATTTGGCTCAGGAGCTTGATGAGAGCAAGACCCTCCTGGATGCCGCTCGGAAGATGGCCGCAGATCTTCAGGATCGTGCAAATAAGGGTGATAAGGCCAGGGCTGAATTGGCCGAACTGGAGCAGAGGCTCCAGCGTCGCGATCGGGAGATCCGGGCGCTGAAGGACAAGATTGCTGCTGCCGAAGCTGCTGGTGTCAAGTTCAAAAAGACCCAGCCTAAAGAGGGCGGACAGGCAGCAGCACCCGTTCAGGCCGATATTTCTAGAATCACTCAGCAGGCAGTGATTGATTTCCAACGGGGTAAAGGTTTGAACGTAGCTCTGGAGGAGACTGCCCGGGAGTTCCTCGGAAAGCATCTTGGGGAGTTCTTGAAGAAGAGTAAGGATCCTCTTCGTGATGGCCTCCAGCTCCTGGATGAGACCCCGTCCGGGACTGCATTTGCTAATGCTCTGGTGAGAGACACCCTTGTTAAGTGCCAGGATATGCTGGTCGACCGGAACCTGGAGGTGATCAAGGAGTCTTTTGACGAACCCTTCGACCCCAAGGAGGAAGGTTTTGATCCGTTATTCTGCCGTGCTTATCAACGTGTAATGGAGAAGAGGCGAAAAGCCAAGGACTTAGCCAATCCCTCGAACGCCAACCCGGATGCCGTGCCGAACAAGGATCCTCCCGTAGCTTAGTTATCCCTGTTGTAATCCTTTTCTTCTTCTCGTGTGTAATTCCCGGTCAGTAATGCCGAAGAATAAAGATTGATCCATCTCCGAATATAGTTATCTTCTTCCAAGCATTTTTTTTTATAAGTCAGCATCATGATTAAGATGCAAGCCGTTCGGCCCGTTCCTAGCACCAAAGTTGAGGTGCAGGCTTGTTGCGCCCTCGAGCACCATGTTTCAGATGCATGTCGTCCGGTTTATTACCGTCGACTGGTTGTTCCCTGAACGCGCAAGTCCTCATTGTTTAATGATTGCTGCGCCCCCGAGCACCATGTTTCAGATGCATGCCGTCCGGTTTATTACCGTCGACTGGTTGTTCCCTGAACGCGCAAGTCCTCATTGTTTAATGCTTGCTGTCTGCTGCCTTGTAGGCCCAAGGCTAAAGTAACCTATTCGGGTTATCATCCGCGTTTTTCCTTATCCGCAAGGCAATCACCTCTTGCTGCAAGACAGTTTCACAATTCGTGTAGTGTCTGCCATCTTCCAAGCCCATAATTCCGATGCATACCGTCGGTTTTACCGTCCGGGGTCATCCATATCATGAGGTTGAGATGTCCATCCTGGACCATTGAGAATAAGGCTCCCAATCCGGGTCTCCCCCTTATTCTCTGCCAAAATGGAGACTTGCCTCCAGGATACAGCTCGGGTTCCACCACCATAAGGTTCGGGCGAGCTGTATGGCCAAGGCAAGATTTTAAGACCAGAGTCCCGATCCCCCGCTCGGTCACCCTATGATTTCGGATGCCGCCCGGTTCGTCCTACTCAAGATCTTTTACACCATCTCCCAAGCTGAGTCCGGGCTTGGTTATCCTGCACATTGTATTTTTTTTTTTTTTTTGTGCTGAGATGATGGCTCCCCATGGATCGAGATGAATGACATCTATGGATCAAGGTGAGACTTTTGGCCGAGTTTGTGGTGATGCCGTTCGGCTTGTTGATGCCGTTCGGCTCGCAATATTCCTCTTAACTCTGGCCTCTTTGGAAGCATTGTTCTCCCTCTTTCTTTTTTTTTTTTTTTTTTCAGAGGTGGCAACAGCCGTTTTTATTGATAAAATTTCTGCAAGTGCGTAGCGTTCCATATCCCTGCCGGACAGCCTTCGGTATCCTGTAGGGAAAAGGTCCCCATCCGGTATTTTTTCCAGACCCGGTATGGTCCCTCCCAATTCTTTGACATCTTCCCGCCCTCTAGCGGTTTACTTTTCTCTCTATTCCTCAGGACAAGGTCTCCGACTTCAATCGAACGGATTTTAGCCTGTTTATCCACATACCTCTTAGTCGCCCGGTGATATTCTTCCATTCGTAAAGCTGAGAGATCCCTTCTTTCCTCTATGAAGTGGAGTTCAGCACGCAGATTGTCCTCATTCTGCTCAGGATCATAGTGGATGGTTCTGTGAGTGGGCACCAAGACCTCAGTTGGGACCTTAGCCTGAAATCCATAAGCGAGGGCGAACGGTGTCTCCCCGGTTGCTGTTCGGGGAGTTGTCCTGTATGTCCACAAGACGTAGTTTAACTGCTCGGGCCAGGTTGACGTGTAATCTTCGAGTTTCTTTTTTATACCATCCATGATGGTTCTGTTCATGTTCTCTACCTGCCCGTTCGCCTGCGGATATGCTACGGAAGCTCTTGAATGCTTGATTCCCCATCTGGTGAGGAATTCCTCGAAGTTCTTGCTCACAAACTGCCGTCCATTATCCGTGACGACCTGCTCGGGCAGCCCGAATCTGCATATAATATTTTGCCAAACAAAACGTTGACATTGAAAATCCGTGATACTGGCCAGGGGTTCGGCTTCCACCCATTTGGTGAAGTAATCAATCCCCACTATGATGTACTTCCTTGCTCCGGACGCATTAGGTAGGGGCCCTAGCAAGTCAATCCCCCACCTAGCGAATGGTAACGATATGGTCATCGGGGTGTAAAAAGTTGCAGGCCGCC